GCGGGTGGCGCGAGTTTTGTCGAAATAACTTTCAGGTCCCTCTATTTTTAAAAAGACAATCGAGGTCCTTATATTTTGCTGTAATAACTGGGAGGGGACATTTCATCCAATACATCATCCGTAAGTGTTAATAAATGTATCTTTTTCTTATTTTTCCAATACCGTTTTTTCCTATTTTGCCATTACCTTGTTTTTTCTTTTGTTAAATTTTTTTTATTTCATTTGTTTTAATATAATACAAACAATTTTGAATTTTTATACAATTTTATAGAAGAAATTCTAAAATAACATGTTAAAAATAGTAACAAAATGAAAGAAAAACAAAGAAATAAAAAAAGGAGCGACTTAAGATTTATTACTTTAAAACATTTAGAAAAGAATAGGAAAAAAATACATTTATTAACGTTTATAGATGAAATTTCCACTTTCAGTCATTACAACAAAATGTAAGGACCTCTGCTGTCTTCTTGAAAATAGAGGGACCTAAGAGTTATTTCAACAAAACTCGCGTCACCCGTGAGTAATTTTGTGCTTATAAACCCTCCAATTCCCTTCTCCCTCAATCCACCCATTCTCGCCAATATTCAGTCCCACAGAGTATGGCAGCCATGGCCACAGCAACCCTATCCTCCACCGGATCCCTCTCTTCTTTCTTCCCCACTAACAAAATACCTTCTTCTTCTTCATCAGTCTCTCGCCGATTCGCTACTCAGGTTCATAAATCATCATCTCCGATCTCATCCATGTCAATGTCCTCCGACATCAACTCCTTCAAATTCCAACCCATCAAGGAATCCATCGTCTCCCGCGAAATGACCCGCCGCTACATGACCGACATGATCACCTACGCCGACACCGACGTCGTCATCGTCGGGGCCGGCTCCGCCGGCCTCTCCTGCGCCTACGAGATCTCCAGATCCGACCCCACCGTCCGCGTCGCCATCGTCGAGCAATCCGTCAGCCCCGGCGGCGGCGCGTGGCTCGGCGGCCAGCTCTTCTCCGCCATGGTGGTCCGCAAGCCGGCGCACCTCTTCCTGGACGAGATCGGGGTGGAGTACGACGACGGCGGCGACGGGTACGTGGTGGTCAAGCACGCGGCTCTGTTCACCTCCCGGATCATGAGCCTCGTGCTGTCCCGGCCGAACGTGAAGCTGTTCAACGCGGTGGCGGCGGAGGATCTGATCGTGAAGGGGGGGAGGGTGGCAGGGGTGGTGACGAATTGGGCGCTGGTGGCGATGAACCACCAGACGCAGTCGTGTATGGATCCGAATGTGATGGAGGCGAAGGTGGTGGTGAGCTCGTGCGGCCACGACGGCCCGTTTGGGGCGACGGGGGTGAAGCGGCTGAGGAGCATAGGGATGATCGACAGGGTGCCGGGAATGAAGGCGCTGGACATGAACACGGCGGAGGATGAGATTGTGAGACTCACTCGAGAGGTTGTGCCGGGGATGATTGTCACCGGGATGGAAGTTGCAGAGATTGATGGTTCCCCAAGAATGGTAAATGATTACTCTCTCATTTTTTAACTTTTTTACTTATTACTTATACTTATTATAATCAGATAAGACTATATCAGATCAGAAACGATTTTAATTATATGGAGTAAATGCAATGATATCCGACCAGATCATGCGAATGGAGCGCAGTCTAACTATTCCATTTGATTCGTTTGATTCAAGGAATTTGAAAGAGAAAAGATAAGAAATTAAAAGAAAAAATAGTTTTTTTTCTTTGGTTAGAAATAAAAATAAAAGAAAAGTTGAGGAAAAAGATATTGAAAAGGTAAGATATATTAAAAAGAGGGAAGACTAAATTCTTTCCATTTCGATGAAAAAATGAGAACTTATTTTTTTTCTTTTTTCTTCCTAATTGGCTGAACTATAATTCCCAAAGTCTACTCCATCCCTTTCCATCATTTTTTGCCACATAATTTTATTTTTCTTAAAATTTGCAACAAGTCAGAGTAGATGCTCTTTTTTTGGGACGAAAGGAGTTGTAGTAAAAAAAATACTTGAGTATTAAAAATTATATTTTAATTTATTCTTTTCTCTGTTCATTAATTTCTTTCTCACTTTTTTTTGAACTGTCTTAAAATTTCTTTTTCGTTTGGAAAATGCTTGGTTCACAAACCCAAACTTCACAAACATACCATTTGTGAACTTTAATAAAAAAATTAAATAGTCTAAAATAATTTTAAAATGAGAATTTAAACCATAAATAGCAAGTTTGTGGATTTTGTGATGATTCTGTTTGTGAACGTAGCATTGCCCTTTTCGTTTTCATTTTGACAAAAAACTCTTAATGAACGTGTCCTTATTCCCTTATTCTTTCTCTAGAGTATTTAATTTATCCCAATGGTGGATGATTAATTGTAATTGGTGATAAAAATGTACTCCGTAAATGAGTGCAGGGACCAACGTTTGGGGCGATGATGATATCTGGGAAGAAGGCGGCGCATTTGGCGTTGAAGGCTTTGGGGAGGAAAAATGCCATTGATGATGGAACACCATTATCATGCACCGATGATAATAAGCTTGCAAGGACGCAAGAAGAAGAAGAAGAAGAAGAAAAACATTTTCTGCCCAAACTTGTTTTGGCTTCTGCTTAATTCTGAGCTGATTCATCAGGAAATTGTTTGGTTCCTGGCCAGCTAAAAATTGTTGAATAAGACTCTTCAATAAGTTAGTAGTGCTATGCTTTCTACTCCTGTCTTACGGCATCTCGATAATTTTTATTTGTAAAAATTTCGATATTGTTTTTAAATATAATGTTTTTATGTGTTATTTTCTTATCAATTTGCAAATAAAATTATTTTAAAATTCACGGAGTTTTGCACGTTAAACAAAGTAGGAAATTCTTATTGGGACGGAGAAAAGTAGGTATTTTGGCAATTGGCATGTTGCTCTCTCTCGCAAAATGATCGCTCCCACATTCAAAGAGTTTAAAAAAAATGTTTGGAAACAGAAAAAGGTGTTTAAAATTTTAAATGGTTAAAAAGGGAGGAAATTTTCATAGCTATTCTAATTCGTTTAGGACATAAGGGAAGAGAAGATTTTTATGAGAAACGAGTATTAGTATAGTAACTTCAATTGTTTTGTTGTCTTATTTTTTGAGAAAAATAACAGAGTTTAAGCATGATGATAGTGACAAAAAAGTAATACGGAATGTTATATCGATTGAAAAACTTATAGTTTGGGTAGAAAATACAAGGGATAAAAAAGAGTTAGCTTAAACTTGGTGATATGAGGTTGCATTGGTTTGATATATAAGTAGAAGTAAAAAAAAATGTTAAAATAAATGATGCTCCGTATTTTTACATACAGAATTATAGATAATAGGTCAATAAAAAGCAAATTTAGTGAAAAAATGATGCTCTGTAATTTTGATAATAGCTAAGAGCATCCAGTGGTAGCATCTTTTACTAGATGTTGAAGTGTAGACTCTATTTTAAAGATGCTAATTGAGCAACTCTCCCAACATCTAAATCTTTCAATTGTTATATCTCACATGGATGCCCCATTTTATTCAATGAATGCAGTGGGCCCACATAAATATAATTATATTTTTTTTCTTAATTATAAGTATTTATTATATGATAAATTTTTAATTAAGATTGATTATTTACTCGTTAGTATTAGTATTACCTTCGTCCTATAATATATATCTAATTTTAACTTTTTACACTTAAATTAATAAAATTTGGTCTTTAATTAAATACAGAGTAAAACTTATACTCTTTCCGCCCATAAAAGAAATACCCATTTTGACTTTTGGTCATTTTTATTAGGTGTTGACTTTGGGATGGAAATGTCCACAATACCCTTCTGCCCTTCCCTCATCCTTTCCTGTTTTCCATCCCCTAAGCCCACACAACCACCCCCAGCTCCCAATCGCCCTAATGACCCAACCCACACCACCACCATTAGCTCTACTTGCCGCACCACCACCGTGAGCTCCGCTAGCCGCACCACCACCGTCAGCTCCGCCCGCTGCAGGAGCTTTCTGAGGAAGCAGATCTGTGAGGAAGTGAAGTTCAACCACAGAGCTGACCCACCCAACAAAAGTTCATAGAACTTTAACAAGATCTAGACGGAGGAGGAGAAACAGAACAAGAAATTTCAAAAAGATGGTGCAGATCTGGCGAGAAAAAGAAGCAGAAGCTAGAGAGAAGGTGCCAATCGAGAAAAAATAACAGAGAAGAAAGGAGAAGAAGAAAAGAAGGAGAAGATGGGGACTAGGAAAGAGAAGGAGAGAGAAGAAGAGATTGAAGTGAGGGATCGAGAGGACAAAGAGAGAAGCAGATCGGGAAACGGGAAAGAAAGGAGAAGAAGAAAAGGGGAGGGTGGGGGAAAGCGAGAGAGAGAGGGGGGAGAAGAGGAAGAGTGAGTTTTGGAATTAATGAGAGGATATTTTAAAACTTTTTTTTATGCAATTAATATATGATGTAGTTAATATTGTTTCAAAACAAACAGAAAAACAAATACCTAAGAAAATTTTCAAAATAAATAAATAAAAAAAGAGTCGTTCCATTAAAAAAGAGTTTGAACTCTAGAACATTGTCATAACTAAATTTTTGAAGGCGCCAAATCTAATTTAATAATAATAAACACTTTCAAGCCTTCAAAAAAAATGAATGCAAACTTTCAAATTTAAAAAATAATAAATATGGCACATGGCACATACATATTAGACCACAAAACTAAAAAAAATAAATGCCTCAATTATTCTTCCATCCTCAAGCATCGGCCATCAGGTGCTAGGCCAAATAAACATTTTCTTTTCATTTTTCTCTTTGAGCATTTCTATTGAGCATCTATCTACTATAATAGCATCTATCAACATCTCATACTCTCTCTTCTTAGCATCTTTTTTGGGCATCCCATTAGAGATGGTCTAATTATCGAATGCTCTAGCCTCTTTGTTTGGTTAAATACCATAATTCACCGAGATTTTCAAACAGCGCCTGTGGCCTAATGGATAAGGCGTCTGACTTCTAATCAGACGATTGTGGGTTCGAGTCCCACCAGGCGTGTTTGAATTGTATTTTAATTTTATATTTAAGGGCCTCACGTGACCTTTTTTTCAATGGTCTCTGGTACAGAATCATTTTCTGTTTTCTTTTGTTTTTTTTTTAAATGAAAAATACGAGTGAGCCAGAATTGATTCCAGAAAGAAAATAGGGGTGAAGAAGATGAGTGCGGAGGAGACGCTGGTGGAGGCGGCGCTGCGGGTTCTGAACACGCCTGACCCGGCGGAGAAGGCCCGGATCGGAGATGACGTCGCCAACAGGTGGTCCCAAGGCCTCATTTCTCGGCCATATGACTCTACCCTGGACCTGCCTGTACCTCACCGCCCCGCCAGGCTCGCTGACGTAACTCCCTCCCCTTTCTCGTTCTTCTTTTGTCTCTCAACTGTTCGATGAATTGCCCTACTGACTGAATTGTGAAAGTTCTTTTATTTGTTCCCACTCTCCACAATAATTTCTCATTCATCCCTTAACCATTTTTAGCATTTAATATAATATGTCAAGAGATTCCTCTCACTTAGTAGAACACATTTCAGTATAGTAAGGGTTCAAACCTTTATTGGTTCACATTGATATTTAAGCCCGAAAGCGACCCCTTGTAAGCTCGATTGGATTTATTTTCCCAACAATTCGCGCGCTTATCGTGATGCATATAGGTGAAGCTGGTTTCACCGAGTCTGATGCCAAAGCTGGGGAAAGCTGGAAACTTGCAGAGCAGACAAGCCATTGTACACAGTCTTGTTCACATTGAAAGCTGGGCTATTGACTTGTCTTGGGTATATCTTCTTCTTCTTCTTCTTAGCAAATTACATTAAGGTCATACATATGTACTTTGTATGTACTACCAATGACATTTTTGTAATCAGTTCAATGATTGCTCGTTTGTCGTCGCGAGATATGTCCACTTGCTTTTGTCTTTTTGTGTTTATGTTTTTCTTTCTTATATTGATCATTTTTGCTTTTTAAAGAGTGCTCTTTTGAGTATGACATTTGCCCATTCTTTTGTTATGAAAAAATGTTTCTATGCATATGCTAGATTATGTACCATTATTATGGTGCAGGTCGTTGTATATTATTTGTGCTGCTTGTATAATGTGTAACCTTTGGCTAAGCCAGACAATGCATGCCTTCATTGGCTTTGTATGTGTCTGCCCTCATATCTTTCAGTCTAAGCTTATTTGGTACACACAATTCATATGTTTGTTCTATTGCTTGTTTTGTGATACATGTATTGTTTTCTAGGACATAATTGCTCGTTTTGGAAAGCAAGAGTCTATGCCGAGGGAATTTTTCACAGATTTTGTTAAGGTGGCACAAGATGAAGGAAGACATTTTTCGATGCTTGCTTCACGGCTAAAGGAGTTAGGCTCTTTTTACGGTGCGTTTCCTGCCCATGATGGCCTCTGGGATTCAGCCATGGCTACTTCCAATGATTTGCTGGCAAGATTGGCAATTGAGCATTGTGTTCATGAGGTTTCAGTCTTAACCGCTCATGCCTTAAGTCCTTAACAAGTGCTATTTTCCCTAAGCATTAAAAGATTGAGTTAATTTCTTCACTTAACCAACACAATATTTCACTTTCCTTAGAAAGTGGCATGTTTTCCATCAAAATGGGGGAATCCACTCCCAGGAATCGACCAAACACTTGGTTTTGTTTGGAACCTAGAGATGTCTATGGAAATAAAATACCAGTAATTGGGAAATTTGAAAAGAAAGAAAATTGAGGAAAAATTAAAAATATATGTAGTGTGTAAGTTAGATATTTGTAGCATTTTCTCTTTTACATTTCTATTATATATCAACTACACAATGTAAATAAATGTAAAAGTTTACAAGTTTCCTTTGTGTTATTAGAAGTAAAGCCAAACGTAAAAAAAAACATTTTCTTTAGCATTTTTTCCCTCTTCCTTTCCGTTTCTGTTTTACAAACATAGCATTAACTGAGAATGATAAACTGATTTGTAGCTGATTCTGGAGTTAGGAATGCTCAATGCATTAACCGAGAATGATAAACTGATATGCTTAACTGTGTTTATATTATCGTATTTTCATCTTTTTTGTAATCTAAGTACACATATTGTCCAAGAACTCTAATAATATGGACTTAATTAAAGGCTAGGGGACTGGATGTGATGCCAACAACAATCTCACGTTTTCGCAATGGAGGTGATAATGAGACAGCCGACTTGTTGGAGACCGTGGTCTACCCAGAAGAGATAACCCACTGTGCTGCTGGGGTGAAATGGTTCAAATTCCTTTGCCTGAGGTCAAGAAATCCGGATTCGGGCAGCGCGACTGAGGTTGATGGGGAAGTTGTCCAAAAATTTCATGCCACTGTGAAGGCACACTTCAGAGGGCCACTAAAGCCCCCTTTCAATGCGGCTGCTAGACTGGCAGCTGGGTTTGGCCCCCAATGGTATGAACCTCTTGCACTGAAACATGACTCGTCTGTATAGTTCCGATTCAAACTCCCATTCTACTAGTTGTCTTCTTGTTCTTGTACGTTCGTAAGAACTTAAAAAACAAATCCACATGCCCACCATGTGACTCCATTTGTGGGATTTTACTCTGGGTTCTTGTTGTTAATGTAACACATCAATTTCGTTTTCTGGAAAACAAATGTTGAATTTGGTATTTATTCCAAAACAATAGTGTGAGTATTCAAGATTGAATGAAAATCAAGTTGTCATTCTATAAGCTCATTTAATGTTTCCTATGCACATAGTGACATGCAGGAGAAGCATGAGAGCAGTTTGAGATTGTTCATTCATATATAAGCTGGGTGTTGTTAGTGTTCAACAGGTACTCATGTCTCACAAACAAGATTTTATAGATAACACAGGTGATTTGTGTTAGCAGATTTAAATAGAAATTAGCATTAAACGAAAATATACTTTGCTCGCTCATTGAATAAACATACACTTTTTTTTTCTTTCGCCCAAAATCCAATCTACACATCACATATTCTTTTAGAAACATAATGCGTGGCCAACATTTTTATGTTTTTTAAACAAATTTGGGCAGGTTGACATTGGCTATCAATGTCTCCAATTGGGGTCTTATACTTGACACTTCCTATCACTCATAACCCACCCTCTAAATGACCTGAATTGACCCCCCACCTCCTTCAAGGGTTGGGGTCAAAATTAACTAAAATTGGGGTTGCAATTGGAGGGGATGAGAGGGTGGTCGGTTTGAGTCGGGTCGGAGTGGGGTACACGAGTGAGCTAGAGTGGTGAGAGTTGTAAATTTCTTGAACGGGGCACCGTAAGGGTCCTAATTGGAGCTAATGTCATAGGATGGCATGAGGTTTCATTGTTAAGGGACCCTTTGAACAAAAATTAAATATACATATTTTAATTTTTTAACATTTAAATTAAACTGAAATCAAAGTATGAATTGCAAGTATGAAAAACTACTCGTATGTAGTGAGTGTGAACATTTCCGGAGTACTTAAATTATACCGATTAATGTAAAAAAGAGTGTGCTAAATTCATTTATCATTTTGCTATACCTACTTTATTTGTTAAAAAGTGACAAATTTATTCTTAAAATCTAAAAATAAAGAAAAACAACGTGTGTGCTAAGTGCTAACACCTAAGGATAAAATTAGACATTTACTAGAAATGGAGTTGATATAGTAGGAAATAGAGGGTTGGATTTAGCAACTAATTATAAAAAAGTAAAATTTGCACTAAATAGAATTAAAACATAATGACTTTCTCAATATAGCAAAAAAGTACTCTGCATTATTTTTTTAATACAAGTTTAATCTAGCAAGTTATCGTAATCACAAATTTGACCAACTGCGCCTTGTGCATTTCCCGGCATAACCCGGCCTTAGACTCTTTCGGATCGCCTTCATCAAGCTCCCAATTCACAGTCAGAATTTAGCGACTGCGGGTCAGGTAATCGATTGAAATTTCCCCTAAATTTCAATTTTTTTGCATTGCGTGATTCCCATCTTCCCGTCGAATTTCTTCTCCTATTGCCGTAATGGCGGAACTATTTTGCCAATTTCGTTTTTCTTGGGCCGGCAGTATGCGATTTTGAAGTCTGGATTAGATGATTATATTTTCTAAAGTTTGAACGATACAAAAATTTAATAATATTTGCTTGTGGTTCGAATTTGTTTGTGCTGATCGTCAGTTGCTGGTGGGAAAATGAAGAAATCTCAATTGCCACTACAAAATGTATGTGGACCTGAGAAGCAGGTAGTTAAGAAGGAAGCTTTGGTGAAGCTTTTGAGATGGCATTTCGGGCATCCCAACTTCCAAGGGAAGCAATTGGAAGCTATTGAAGCTGTTTTATCAGGTAGTATTTCCATGTACAAGGATGTTGATAGTTAATTTATTCAGATTGATTTTTTTCCACTTAAAATGGACTAATATTTATCATTAATTAAATTAAAATTGCATTGCATATTAATACAATGAAATAATTCTTTGAAAGTTTTTTGCAAGATAAACTTAATGAAATCATTTTTATGTTAATATTCAATACCATTTTTATCTAATTGATGATTTAAGTTTGTGTCATTTGAGTCAAAGTAGACGCATGCATTGGCAAGAAGGTAGTATTGATTTCACGTAGCCAAGGATGTGGATATTATGGTGTGTTAGCATGCTAATTGGCGAGGTTTACTTGCAATCACCTTTTGTCTTCTTGTTTTTATATATCCACAAAAGTGGCCAACCAAATGACCATTACCAAATGGGTCCAAAAAGCAAAACAAATTTGCATGTTTCTGTGTGTGCTTTCTATCCTCATCTTCCTTTTGTTCACTGTTTATGGCATGTTTTTGCAGGAAGGGATTGCTTTTGCCTAATGCCCACTGGTGGGGGAAAATCGATGTGTTACCAGATTCCCGCTCTTGCAAAACCCGGGATTGTACTTGTCGTCAGCCCTTTAATAGGTGATTTTTTTTACTCCTTTTTTATTTCACATCATGAAGGAATCACAAACTACATGTTTTTGTGTTGACTTGCAAATGATAGGGAAATGACTGGCTTAATTTCGTCTATCGTTTGTTTCAGCTCTCATGGTGAGTTCCCAGGGAATATACTCCCTTTTTTATCTGCTGTTTGTTTGTTTTCTTGTGGTCCTATGCGCTTCTGATTTCTATTATATTAACCCAGGAGAATCAAGTCTCTGCACTGAAAAGTAAAGGTATTCCAGCCGAGTTTCTCTCATCAAGCCAGCCTTCACAAGTAAGAAATAAGGTAAATACTTACCCTAATACATCATTTACTCTGTGCCTCATAAGTAAACCAGCGTAAAGTTTGTATTGAAACTTTAGCAACAAATTCTGTCCGGCGCAATTTTTAGTCTTTAGTGATATGTTGCAGAGCACAGAGGACACATTTGATATTTAGTAAGCTCTCAAGTAGCAGATAATGTACTATGTATGCATGATATGTACTGACAAAGAGTGAATTTTGTATTAATGCATTGGAGAGAACTTTGGTAAGCTAGAGTGGCTTTTTTGTTGATGCACAAAATGAGAGATTTGGAACCCTTTTTTCTCTCAAGTGAGGTTGTTTTGTGAAGTTTTATAAATAATTAGTTTTTTTTCTTTTTTTTTTTGGGGTGCTCTATTGTCATTTTGTCGGGTCTTTTTGGTTGGCATAGCTACAATAACTTTCCCCACTGAGGGTAGTCCAGCAATCAATAAACATAAGTGTTATTTTCATGTTGGTGAGTACTTTTGAGTTTTGAAAACACCAAATGGTTAGAATAAATCTAACATTTACTCTTCTTCACATCTCAACTCAGGGAAAATTAAAAGTTGAAGGCTGTTTTTTCTTTAAATGTTAGATATATGAGGACCTCGAATCTGTGAAGCCGTCTCTGAGGTTATTGTATGTTACACCAGAATTAATTGATACAGCTGGATTCAAGTCGAGAGTAACAAAGATCCACTCAAGAGGATTACTAAACCTTATAGCTATTGACGAGGTTTTGAAACTCCTCATAATCTTCCATAACTAAATTAACTTGAGTATAAAACACTCTCTGTTTGAGTTTTCTATTATTTTTATCTCAAAAGTAGAATTAATCAAGCACTTTTCTGTTTCATGAACAAATCAGGCCCATTGCATCTCTTCATGGGGGCATGACTTTAGGTAACTTTCTAATCTTTTCTCCCCTTTCTAATATTCAGGTGAGCATCCTTTTGTTATGCTTTCGACCAAAACCCTTTTATGTAGTCTATGGCCTAGCAGTTAGTGGATTCATATATTTTAGACTCATGCATTTCATATCTGCTTTATTTTCCTACATTCTTTTGATCAGTTATATTTGATTGTGATTTGTTATATGGCTCTTGCTTACTCTATTAATCATAGCTTTGCACATAAATTAGGCCTAGTTACCGGAAGCTTTCTTCCTTGAGGAGCCACCTACCGAACATACCAGTATTGGCTTTGACAGCAACGGCTGCTCCAAAGTGAGCTTCTCTTGTTTTCTCAAGTAATTCAGAAGTTGGAATTCCCAATCCTGTATTGGCGTAGACTTTTAAATATTCTACACAATCTTCTGTTATTCCACATTCTTTTACTCGGAAGTCAGAATGTTTTTACATAAGGTGTTAAAGCGTGTTCTTTGTGGTCCTGTGGAAATCTCAAGTGAATTGAGAGCTCTATAGTATTTTACTTATTAGATCTGAAATTGCTATAGACTTGCATATACTCTGTAATTTGTTTATATATCAAATCATCAAGAAAGACATCATTGAAAAGGTTAACAAGAAATTTCATCTGATTTGGATGAAAGGAAATCTTTCTAACACATGATCCCAGTTATTTAGTGCAACTTATGTGACAAGAACTGTCTGATTATTGCTATCCACATTTTGGGATTTTTTCTGCAGAGTTCAGAATGATATCATTGGATCGTTGTCATTACAGAGCCCTGTAGTCCTCAAATCATCTTTCAACCGCCCAAATATCTATTATGAGGGTCAGATCTAATCACTTAAGCAGCTTGAACACTTCTTTTTATTTTATTTGTGCCTCTCGGATGCGAATCTACATTATGATGCCTAGGTGCATGTGATATTCTATCCTTCTTGATATCATGATGCATAAGCCCTTGCAGTTGGGACGACCAAGAAAGATATTTTATCCAATATGTATTTGTTAAACGTGGGGTACAGTGTATGCAAATGTGTCTGTAGCCTGTAAGGTTTTGTAGTAAAATAAGTGCACTGATGTGTGTTTCATTAATTTTATTAATGCCATAAAAATTTCTTCATGGCTGATGAAGTATCATCACGATGCAGTTCGATATAAAGATCTTCTGGATGATCCATATGCTGATGTATGTAACCTGCTGAAATCTTATGGAAATGTTTGTGCAATTGTTTACTGCCTCGAACGTACAGCTTGTGATGATCTTGCTTCCCATCTGACAACATATGGCATTTCCTGTGCTGGTGATGCAATATTTTATTTGATATACTCATTGATGGTTTGTTTCATGATGCATTTCCTCTTAAATGTTACTTTTGAATTTTCAGCATATCATGCTGGATTAAATAGTAAAATGAGAAGCTCTGTCTTGGATGCTTGGATTTCCTCCAAAACACAAGTAGTTGTGGCAACAGTGGCCTTTGGGTATGGCTTCCTAACTTTCTTTATAAAACAAATCTCTCTTTTCTTTTTGGGAATTTATAATTTACAAAAAGACTGGTAAACTTAAGCTGGCTGACAGCTAAATTATGATAAACATTTGCATTTGTCCTAATAATTTTTGGTGTGAAATTCTTGTGTTTTTATCTTAAATTTTGTGTGTATATTGGAGTCACTTTGAAGCGTGCATTGTTTCTGATTTTGCTGCAGGATGGTATGCATCGAGCACTTCACAATGTTTGGGACTTTGGGTTGATTTTATCAAGCTTCAATGTGATTTAACTGCACATGAACATGTTTTGTTTTGCAAAATTAAAAATAGGGCATAGATCGAAAAGATGTCAGAGTTGTCTTCCACTTCAATGTCCCAAAGTCAATGGAAGCTTTCTATCAGGAGTCGGGTAGAGCGGGTCGTGATCAATTGCCTTCAAGAAGTGTTGTTTATTACGGAATGGACGATCGTCGGAAAATGGTTGAACTTCCTTTTGTTACTAATTTCTCCATTGATTCTGAATGTCATTGCGTCATTTTAGTAAACATCTCCTTTTATATAACAGGAATTTATTTTGAGAAGTAGTGAAAGGAAGAAAGAGTCTTCAAGTTTACAAGATGGATCCTCAAAGAAGGCCCTTGATAACTTCAGCCAGGTTATTCTTAAACTCCCTGATTGACTTCAACACTCAGATTCATCCTTTTTAAAAGGTTTCTGCAATCAGATAGTGAAGTATTGTGAAGAATCTGGATGTCGCCGAAAAAAGATCCTTGAGAGCTTCGGGGAGATGGTATACTTTCTAGTTGTGTCTTCGTAGGGTCTGTTTGGATGGAGGGTTTTGGAGGGGCTTGAACTTTAATGGGCTAAATATACACGAAGTACAGAGTACATGTTTTTAGAAACAGAATGTTTTTTAAAACTAATAAAAGGTGATTGGAATTTTATATGATCACATAATATGACTCTTTCAATTTTTATGAATTTTTAAATATATACTCTCAAAATAAACTTCATGGTTTGACTTCACAAAGTTGAGAAAAGGGTTGAGAAGTGAAGTGTATTGTCTGAATTTGTTTAGAAGAAGAGAAATGATGTGAGCTACACATTCCTTTTCTTAAAAGGAAATAAGCAAAGTGTAAATTTTATTTTGGGAATGACGGAAAAAAGTGAAGTTTATTTTTGGATGGAAGGAGTATATCAAGAATTCGCAATATAAACTAAGCCCTCCGAATCCTTTGATTCCAAACCCCTCCAAAACTCTTTGTTTCAAACAGACCCTGTAGTTTTGTTTTATAGTAATTTAGTTGCATTTATTGACTTGGCAACTAGGTATCTGCATCTTTATGTGGAAAATCATGTGATGCTTGCAAACATCCTAATCTAGTTGCTAAAAACTTGGAAGAGCTCAAAGCTGCTGCCACCTTTCGCCAACGAACTGGATCTTCAGGGATATTTATTACCAGGTAGCTTTTTTGCAGAATTATCAGAGGACCTTTAGCTCTATTTTGGATTGATTTGGTGGTTGGATTTGAATTACTGGGAATTGGATACTAGGAATTGATTTTACTGGAAATTAAAGATAGAATCACGTTTGGAATAACTGAGATGGACATCACTCAAACTTCATGTTATGTTGGACTTCCCCCATTTCATGATTATATGAGCATGTTTGGATCTCGGAAAATGTTAATGAAACAGGCAAATATGATAATTAAGAATTAAGATGTTCTCTTAAGTTAAGTTTTACCTTAGAAAGTGCAAATTGATCTAGAATATGAAATATTCTTTTTAACAAAAATAAATGAAATGAGTTCAACCAACTATCTAAAATAAATTTAGTGTCTAAGCCTATCTTCTATTTTCATCCAAATCTCCTTTGCTTTTCCTAGTACATTACGGTTTCCTTGGTTTCTTGAATCACGGATTCCTTGGTTTCTAGTACATCCAAATTGCTGATTCCTTGGCTTCTTGAATCCACAAATGGACAACACACCCCACCCTTGGGAATCACATGCCAACCCCAACAAGGCCTTAGTGTCAACTTCTTTAGGGTTACTTGGCATGGATGAGTGTCTCGGTGAGTGAATTATTTTGATTTTGATAATGTATGTATGTTTTGTAGCTCATCAAACCTCAATGATGGAGACTACTCTGAATTCTGGAATCGTGAGGATGATGCAAGCGGGTCAGAAGAAGATATATCTGATTCAGACGGTACAATTGTAGAAAAAAGAAAAAAAAACATTTCATCTGCGAATGCATTATTCATATGAAACATCCATATAGCCTGAAACGTTTAAACCCTTATTATACAAATTTGCACAAATTCAGAAGCTCTTGATGCTGCAAAGAATGTAACTTCTTCGCGGGTATCAACAAAGCTAAGAATCCAAGACAAAATTGAATTGCTGCAGCGAGCAGAAGAGAATTATTATCAGAACAACAATCCTGAGAAGCAGGTAATTGTTTGTCTAATTTGCCATTACTACAGGAGATCTCCTGTCCCAAAAAAAACATGTTTGATGCACCACTTGTTAATGTTGATAAGTTATACTCTATAAGTGTGACGGATAATCAATCCTACATATACAGACAAGGGAGTACTTTTGTAACAATTGTTTGACAAATTACATGATAAAAAACTTTATTTGATCTTTTTTGGGGACAAAAAAGTTTGAAAGAGGGTATTACTCTTTGGCAAGTTTAAGCGTATCGGGGGTTGACCCCGTGAAATTCTACATCTTAGAGAATTAGAATATAGGTTCATGGTTGCACGCAGATTTTTCATCTCTTTATCCCTTGTAGGTAAATAAACATGACAAAAATGCAGTATCCGAAACATTAAGAGAGACGGGCAAACAAAGATTGTTAGGAGCTTTAAAACAAAACGGAGAGCGGTTCTCTGGTATGAGGTAATGCAGTATCTCCCCCCACCCCACCCACCCACCCCACCCCATTGTATATCCTGAAATGGGCTTTGACTTTGCAGATTGAGCTTTGAAGAAGCTGCATTGATTCTTGAAAACCAATGTTACAGCAAGTATTGTAAAAGCGGGAAGTCTTATTACTTGTCACAAATGGCAAGCACAGTGAGGTGGATTTCAAAAGCAGAGCTCACAGAATTAACAAATAAGCTTGGATGCGACATGGTACCTTCTTCTTCTTCATCGGAAGCGGACCCGCCACCAAAAACTCCCTCTGTCGGTTTCCCATCAGCTAATGAGAAAACCAGTCAGAGTGTTGTTTCAGAAACAGTAAAAGAAGCTGAAGACGTCTGTCTAGCTGCTGCTGCTGCTGCATTGCCACAGATCCCATCTTTCTCGGAGTATATTAACAACAGAAATGTGAAGAGTCAGCAGGATCACAACTCAAACAAGCGTTCGCCTGATTTGGCTGGCAAGGATATACTCAAGAAAATGCGATCCTAATTAAAGGGAGTGTTTTTTTTTGGGGGGGGGGGGGGGATCTTCTGTTGTTTTTGAGTGTCATTGGCAATTAGTACTACCAATATGTTTGCAGAAAACCCCTTTGTTATTCATATGGTGAACTTTCAATGATGCTTTTTGTATTACTTAGCAATTTGATATGTCCATACCCATCATCATCACCACCACCACCCCCAATTGTTTAAGGGTCGCTTGAGGAATACTCCCTCCGTCCCAAATTATAATGCCTGTTTTCCTTTTTCGTCCGTCCCAAAATGATATGCCTGTTTCCTATTTTAGTAAGTTTTTACAAGTAAAATCTCTAAACTACCCTTCCCTTATCTCAATCTTATCTCCTCGCCCATTCACTCCCACCATCCATTATCTCTCTTTCGCCGTACTACTTTTATTCCCACCATCCATTATCCCTCTTCCACTACTTTTTTTTACGCATCCTTCTCCTTCAATCCATGGCCTTCCTCTATCTCTTTTCACACTCATCTTCTCCTCAATTCAATCGCCCACCGTCAACGCGTGGTTCATTACTCTTCTCCCCTTTTCTCACCTGATTATAATTTTTGGATTCCAACCAGGTATGTTTTTTCAATTTTGATTTTGTCCAGGTTTGTTTTTTAGATTTTGGTTTCATCGGGGTGTGTTTCGTCCTCCGTCCAGGTATGTTGTTTGAGTATTCCTTGATTTTATTATTTCGATCTTATGTTCATTTTAGATATAGGGTTTTTTTCGTTATTTAGATTGTGTTTTGATGGTTTCATCAACAAATATTTTTTCTATTTTCGTATGTTAATTTGTGGCCTTCATAAATTTCCAGATCTTGAAGAGTTTTGGGTCTTGTGTTCATGTTAGACTTGAAGATCTACGGAATGGGTGATGAAATTTCAGATCTTGAATGATGTACTTCTGTTGCCAATGTTGTTTAAGCTACTACTATTACTCCGTATTTTTTTTGCTTCAATTTTTTGAAAGAATATTTTGATGTAATTTGGACGAATGTAATTTTGAGAGTTGTTCGAGGATGTTTCTTGTTTGTATGGTGTATATTTGATGTGTATATGAGAGAAGAGGGTGATGAGCTGGTGTAGGGGCATTTTTGGAAGGTCAATGCCATTTTTTTCATTTCTTAAATATGGCCTAAAGTCAAAATAGGCACTATATTATGGGATGGAGGGAGTACTATATAGGGAGTACTTTGTACTCCCATATATTCATGTTTCAGGAAAATCATAAACAGAGTAATCAATAATCAAGTCAAATGAACAATTTAATCATATGTTCAGTCTAAATTGTCTGTTTGATCATATGCACTCCTCAGTGCCAACCAATTTAAACGGCTTGTTTTGGTTTACCATATTTAATTGAAAATATTTTTAATTTAATTTATTTGAGAATTGGAATTAAAAAATAAATGTACATGTTTAAAAACTGTATTCAAAGTTTTACAAAGCAATACGTGACATGATTATATCATTTTATTAAATGAGTAATCAAAATAGATAAAGAAAGTAACGAGACTTGAACTTGTAAATAATAAATAGATAATTTAATTTGAGGTAAAAAGAGTAATTTTATTAATTTGGCTATTTTTCGTGTTGCGTCCTTATATTTTGAGTTGAGAGTTCCATGGAAATTAAAATGTTCTCTTTTCAAATTCTGTTATGTAAGAAATTTTTAATGGATTGTCTAATCACTCTATTGTCGCAATATATACTGTATAATCAGTGGTACAGTGTTTCTCGTACATCAACGGTAATTGCTCATTTACGAGTAACTGAATGTTCATTTTTGAGCAAGTGAACACTCATTTTCAAATACCTAGATACTAATTTTCTAAAATTCAGTCATGCTAAAAAATGAGCATTCAGTTATTCGAAAATGAATATTTTATTATTCGAAAATGTGTATTTAGTTGCTCGACATTGAGTATTCATGTTGACGTACGGAAAATACCATAGGTCCACATGTATGGTTTATTGGTATAGATACTCTATTGTTAAATAAGCTTAAAATACGGAGTAGAAAATAAAATTTTGAAAATTGGGGCGGATGGTAACATTTCAAGAAGTTATGGGTATAGAGAATATTTAAACTTTGTCTTGGGGCATAAGAAAATGTCACCACATCGCGGGTAGCGCCTGGCTTCATCAGTTCATCAAGAAAGACTCAAGCCTCTCCATATCGAGTGCTAATTGAGAGAGTTCAGAAGCATCGTATCCTTCTTCCAATCTCAGTAGATACACTGCAGGAAGAAGGGTCGAAGAATGAGTAGAGGGAGCGGAGGAGGCTACGATCGTCACATCACGATCTTCTCGCCCGAGGGTCGTCTCTTCCAAGTCGGTAAGCCAATCGAAACTTTCTATTCTCGCTTAAGTTTCATCCGAAACGGCGAAAATGTTTCCGATCTCGGTTGAAATTGTATGTTTTTTGTTGTTGTTGTTGTTTTGTGAACAGAGTACGCGTTCAAAGCCGTGAAGGCCGTCGGAATCACCTCCATTGGTGTGTGTGGAAAAGACACTGTTTGTGTTGTTACTCAGAAGAAAGTTCCGGTAAATTTTGCATCTTTAGAGCTCAGCTTTTATTTGATGTTCATTGATTGGTAGTTCGGGTTTTATGTTGTAATTTGTTTCAATTTAACTTTCGGAAAAGCTTATCTATAGTTTCTTTGAATTCATAAAAATGTGAAATGGACTGATCTACTAATTTTATCCGGTGAGCTTTGATCAATAGTTCATAAGAGCTTGTTTATTATCTTGTTCGTTAATATATCAAAACTTAGAAATTGATGGTGAGACCTGTGCATTAATGACAATTATTTCTGTTGGCTACGGGCTCAGTATCCTTGATAGAACCTACATAGGGAAGGGTTCTATCAGAAACCTAGAGACTTGACCTTTTCAAAGTCTATTAAGTTGCGCTTGCTATTGTATGGGTTCCAAAGTAAGTTATAATAGCAAGTCATGGCCATGGTGGCTTTTGTTTGAATCTGCAATACATTTCATGCTTTCTGAATGGATCCCAAAGTTTAGGGAGCTAACATGCTCCCTGTTATCGATTGAAAACATTTGAACATACATACTTATAGGATTCAAGAAAATAGTTTGTGTTTAGACATTGATAAGAATGATTTTTTCACTTGCAAGTGGTTCAGAAGTTAATTGGCTTCAATTCTCTCATCAGGAGTTGTATATATGAGAATTGAGAAGTTACATGTCAAATGTTAGTGTCATTCCAAGTCAGTTTGTTTTTAGCAGCTAGCACCTTGGAGGGAGAGTAGTGAGAACACCCTTTCCTCAAGCTTTTGCACGTAATACATTTTGAAGATCTTCTTTTCCAGGAAGCATATCGACCGATGTTACGTGATAAGTTATATCCCGATCAAATATAACATGGACATATTTTTTCCTGTATAGGGGACAACTCTAGGTTATCTAATTGATTTTGAAATTGGGTTCCATTTAATTATCCAATCTTATTCCCTTCTAAATCCTTCTTTTTTCAGGGTGATGTTCCCTTACAACTTATGCAACACCATTAGCGAGAGGTCTTTCAAAAGTTTGCATTTATGTCTCTTGCAAAACTCACCATCATGACTATGCTTTTTATAGAATCACCTAGGACAAGGTTGCTTTGAGTCATAGACTGAGGTAGGTATTTTGACTATTACTTACCATCAACCATTTCCAACACCGCTCTCTCCACCACCACGTGAAACTTTTTTCATGTTCGCACAACTTTATTCCTTTCCATGTCGCCACCTACAACACCAACGCCGTATCCACCAACATTGCATGTAGCCATCTACCATCTTTAACACTTTAACTCTGTTACTACAACCATCATTTCCTATAACCTCAAGACACCTGATCCTAAATGATTCTGTAAAAAGCATCCCCTTTTGAGAAGCCTCTTACATGTGGTGTTGCATATGGTGTAAGGGTGCATCTTATCAGGAAGAGCGTGTAAGGGTACAAGGTCATAAAATTAAGAGAATGGAACCCAATTTCATGAAAATGAGCATAATGTAGATAACCTGAAGACAATCAAGTCATCACTAATTCAGGAGGCATATGCAAATATAATTTATGCTCAATATACAATTGCTCATGTAGTATTTGTCGATAACCTTTCTAGAAAAGAGGATGGTAAAAATGCATTGCATGCAAGAGCCTAAAGAAAGGGTGTTCTCAGTTTTCACCGCTCCATTGAAGTTGCTATAAACAAATGAACTTGGAGTTATACTGACACTTGTGAGTATAAACCAAGTTTCCCTCAAATGCAACATCTAATGAGAGAATTGAAGCAACTTATGGGCACCTTAAAATTGTATTTAACATTGGATCACTTGTAGAAAAGATTCTTCAATAGCTTGCAAGTGAACATTTCAATCTTGTCAACGTCTATGGCAAAACTTTTTTTTAATCATATAAGTATGGAAAGTTCAAATGTATCAATCAATAACATGGAACATGTTAACTCTTAAACTTTGGGGATCCATTTAGAAAGGATGAAATGTGTTACAGTCTTGCAGATTCAAATAGAAACAACCATTACCATGACTTTCTATTTTAACTTTTTTGGCATTCTTGCAATTGTAATTTTAATTTAATAGACAAGTCTCTATAGGGTTTCTATCACGGATAAAACCCTTCCCTATGTAGGCTTCATGAATATGTCTTATCCTGTAACATTGTTGTGAAACTTAAATGTTGGAACGATTTCCCCCGTAAGTTGTTGTTTGTTTGGGGGTTGATTGTTCGGATGTTGTGAACAGGACAAGCTATTGGACCAGACAAGTGTGACCCATTTGTTTCAAATTACGAAGTATTTAGGTGTATTGGCTACTGGAGTGACAGGTTAGTACCCTTTACTCCAAAGCATATTATTATACAGAAAGAATGGGTTCATTTGAGTGGGTCAGGATTATCAATGGTTTAAATTTTTCTTGTTTATTGGGTGTAGGTACTTTGTTAATGAATATTGGGGGAAGTGAAGAATAAGATAGATAGTTTTTGGTGTTTCTGTATAGTACAGGATGTATCATTTGTTACGGTTCATGACTGTGTCAAGTGTTATTTTTTGAGGAGAAATGCTACTTGGATGAGCTTACTATATGCAAATGTTCCTACAATCTATTTGAAATGGATTAGCAGAAAAGGATGAAAGCATTTATACTGTTTTTTTACTTTGTTTGGATAAGTATCTCAAAAGATCATATGCCCTGTGAAAAGCTTATTCGTACAATCTGTGAAATAGATTATCAGAATAAGATATAAACAGATTTTCAAAGGCCTCTCTATCAAAAGACAAATGTTCTATTCTTGCTAGTAGGACCTCTTTTTTGTTTGTCATTGTGATGTTGAGTTCAGTTTCATCTGTTTTGAAAATTCAAATTCATGGTTCAAGATGTAGAGAACTAAAAAAAACTTTTTTTTGTGAGAAATAAATTTTGGTGCTAGAAGCATATAAAAGTATTATCTGCATTTCAATGCTTGTATATATAAATTTAAGCTCGAGATTTTTACTCATAAGCTTGCCCTTCATTTTGATAGCTGATGCTAGGACTTTGGTCCAACAGGCTAGGAATGAGGCGGCTGAGTTCCGTCATAAATTTGGGTATGAAATGCCAGTGGAGGTGCTTGCCAGATGGTATGTTAAGTTTGTCCACAAAGTTTTACTTAGGTTGTGTTTGATAGTGCATGCGCAAGTATTCTATTACTCTGCTCTTTATTAGTTGCCGCTTTGGATGTATTTTAAGTGTCACTTTTGAAGATCAAGAGAGCATTAATGACTCATTTTGCCTTTCTCTTTCTCTGCTCGATCCGTAGTACTTAATAATCAGTATATGTTTAATGAAGGGCTTTATAGTCATAGTAAGGCATATTTATCTTGAGTTTAGAAAACCTTAAGGTTTTCTTAATGTGTGTAAGGGTATAAGTCGACACTTATTTGAGAATGGATGGAGTAGTTTATTGCACATAAGGGATATAGATCCTCTAGATGCAAAAACTCGGTGCTCTAGTTGCTATTAAATTTCAAATATTCACCTATAAATCTTTTGTTTTGATTTTTTGATATCGAGTAAATTTCCTGACAAATATAAGTTCTTGATGGTCAAAATGATATATATGACTGTATACACGCAGGATTGCAGACAAATCTCAGGTTTATACTCAGCATGCCTACATGAGACCCCTCGGAATTGGTTTGTCACTAACCACACACAAACTTCTAATTGGCATTTAAAATTTTATTAAGTGTATTGTACTGTTTGTACAATCATTGTCATCATCATTTTAAGTGTTTTCAATGTGAAGTTGCAATGGTTTTGGGTATCGATGAAGAAAAAGGACCTCAGCTCTTCAAATGTGATCCTGCTGGTCATTTTTTTGGTCATAAGGTAACATTATTTTTACAACCATGAAAAGCATTTGAAGCTGTTTCTCTTTTTTCCATCTAAAAATTTTATACGATTTGAATAATTACTTGCAGGCAACCAGTGCTGGATCTAAAGAACAAGAAGCAATCAACTTTCTGGAGAAGAAGATGAAAAACGACCCGGCCTTCTCATACGAGGAAACCGTTCAGGTAAAAAAATGGTACATTTTTTCAAAAAATCACTTGCCTCCTTATGGTCACAATGGGGTTTTGACTTATTCTTCCCCTATCTAGACTGCAATTTCGGCTCTTCAATCGGTATTACAGGAGGATTTCAAGGCCAGTGAGATTGAGGTATCATTCTTGTTTTCTTATTTCCAATTTTTCATCAACTTAATAAACAGAGACAAAGAAAAAGCTTCTTTCTGACTGATGCTGATGCACACAATGTTACTTAGGCTGGAGTTGTGAGTCAGGAAGACAAATCTTTCAGAATGTTATCAACTGAGGAGATTGATGAACACTTGACGGCTATCAGCGAGCGTGACTGATTTTTCCTGATAAGTTTTCTCCACACACATTTTGCTGTTTGGTCATTGGGCAATTCATGTTTCAAACTTGTGTTGTTCTGTGCAACTTTCCCTTTGAATATTTACACACTATTGCTGAGACCGGGTATTTACAAAAGAACCATGAATTCTCAAATCCTTGTCTTGTTTGTGTTCATGTCTGTGCGCTAGAGACACAAGATGTACTTAAATGTTATTTTCCATGTTCTGTAATTTTGTTTCTGGTGACTTGTAATTCGCTTTTTAAGAAAGTATGATGTTGCTAAAAATCTTAATAAATTAGAAAACCTTTAAGAATCACAAAACTCATTCTTGAAAAGCAAACGCCTGAATGAGAATAAAAAATTGTAACCCCAAAAAGAAAACTTGAACAAAGGTACGAAGGAATAGGATGAATCTTGTCCTTAGGGTTCTTAGGCCTGAGGCCAGACAGTTACCTAGGAGTAGTAAATTGAGCTATAATTACAATCTCACAAATAAAGAATGAGAGCTGTCTCTTATATGTTTAAGGTACTCTATATTTCACAACGTCGTTTATTATTGTTGTTACTACGGAGTAGTAGTTAAACTCAAGACATCATCAGCTTTTGCATCCCTTCATTGCCAGTTAGGGTATGAGATATGTGTAGTGTATAGTGTGGCTTTGGCATGCAATCAAATTCATATGAAAGGAATCCCTTCCAGTGGACGTTGCGCCCTTGACATGACAAGGGATGCACAAAATGTAACACCCGAGTTTGATTCCTGACAATTGCAGCACTTGCACTGGGATTTGAGAGAATTATGCTAACCATAGGGTTTTACCTCACTCTTTGTCACTGATTTTTGATCAAAGTTTAATTTGGGCACTCAAGAGTGGAGTGCATTTGTGTCAGACAATAATAGCAAGTGTTTTTGTCTGGTAAGGAGAGATATGGACAACTAACTGGCATGGCATGGACATGGTCTGGTTAGAGTATATTGTGCATGTGTTTGTGTGGTGGGTCCATCATGAGTTAGAAAATTTATTGAACTTCATTAAAATTAATTGTTATTCCAATGGAAACCAAATTATCTGGACTAGAAATAGATCGAAAAAATCCAATCTAAAATTTGTAAGGGTACTCTGATTAATTATATATTACTCCGTATCAATGATTTTAATCATCACATATGAGGAAAATACGTGCATCACTAAATTAAGCTAAGATCGCCCACTCAGGATTTGTACATTTTTGTTTCTAGAGGCAGACACATACTTCTTGTTCGCATGTGAAATCATTTTGTTTGTCTTTTATTCAACCAATAATTGAATGAAAAACTTTGTGCTCATCTGGCTTTTAATTCAAAATAAATGGTGTTTGCATGGGAAAAAGATTGTTGGTTTTTTTTTAATGAAAGAGCTTTTTCAAAAGGAGGTCAAATAGTTACAAACTTAGAATTGTCGAGAAAAAAAATTATACAAGAACATTAGAGTGTTATTTCCAGATGCTTTGTTTGTGTGTGTGTTTTCACTGAGCATTTGGTAAAATAAAATAGACATGCTACTATTTGTTTGTAAAATATTTGATGTATTTGTTAAATATATAAGGTGTAAAGTATTTTTGAAGCAGTTGTTAAATACTTATTTTTAATTTAATTTATTTGATTATAAGTGTAAAAAAATAGAATATATATTTTAAAATTACATCAAAAGTTCTACGAAACAAGAGATGACATGGCTATATTATTTTACCAAATAACTAACTAAAATAGGTAAAGGAACTGATTAAAATTTAATTATGTGAATAGTGATTGAGAAGATCATTTTAAGACAAAGGTAGTAGCATTTATCTCTTTGAAAAAAATTGCACCACCCATGTTTATCTTTAAATATTTTTTGCAAGTCCCATTCATTTTCATTTCATTTTGATGAACACCAAAAGACAAATGCAAAGAGTGTTGAATTGATAATTGACCCCCCCTTGTTAATTAAGTCGATCGAGATGACGACATCATCATCATATGATTCATAAAATTAAATTTGAATGAACCCTCCACCAAATGGTTGTGCCCCATCATTTAACCGGCGGCACCTGGGGTGAAACATACTAGGGTGAGGTGTTTTCTAAATATAAACAAATAAATAAACCAAGTTGTTAGAGGCTTTGATTATGCCAAGTCCCATTTCACCTGCAAGCCACAACATTTTTTCTAGATATGTGTGTTTTTGTTAACAAGTGTTATCGGTGAAAACGTCATGTCTATAAGTATTATCGGTAAAAATTGTGCACATCGACAAGTGCTATGAGTGAAAATTGTCTTGGTGTATATCGTAATGTAATCGTAATGTAAGCTATGAAATGTATAAAGAAAAATTATATCGAAATACAAACAAGTACAAGTATTTTGTTACTTCTCTTAACATTAATTAAAAGAGTTTTTGTGTTATTTACCTTTGAACTCTTCAAAAATGCGGATTCTCTCTGAATTTTAAAATTTGCTTCAATGGTCAATGAACTTTTAAAAATATTACGGAGTACATCAATAGTCTCTTTGTTTAGTACTTGGTAGTGTACTAGTCACACGTTCATTAATATATATGTTCGAACTTGATGAAGATGTCATAGTCTGATGAAGAGGTTGATCGATTGATGAAAAGTTAGATCGACTAATGTTTGTGCTCCGAGTTCAGTTACCGGTAGTTGTAGAGCAAATAATTATATAGAGTTTTTAAAGGTTAAAAATATAAAAGATTATGTTTGAGAAAAAACATATTCCAGAACTCACGTGTAATATTTGAGTTTAGATGAATTCATACTTACACTAAGCGAATGTGTGAGTAGACAGAGCTGACACAAAAAAAATGGAGCATGTTACATTTACACCAAAATTTGCACCCCAAACTTATACCAAAAGTATACACTGGTGCGTTAACAAAAATTTACACTGACACAAAATATTGGTGCATTAACAAAAATTATCATTACACCAACATAAAATGTTAGTGCACACTTGCAATGTACAAATGGGGTAAAAAAACTTTTGGGTAAAAGTAGCTTTATCCAAAAAAATCTCTTTTAAAATTGTGTTAAAGGGCGAATAAAACAAGAGGGCGTCGGCGGGCAAACAGTTTGGAGATTTCTGGCAGGTGGTTCAAGTAACCGAAAACACTTGGGACGCGTCGTAGTTAAGGCCATCGGCGACCACTTGTTTAATGCCCCACGCTCTCAGTGTCCCGGAATCCTACTTTCCCGCGTGTCCACGTGTGCACGCGCTCACGCGCTTCATCTTCTCCATCTTCTTCTTTCGTTTTCTCACCACAAAAGTTTTCCCACTATAAAATGTTCCCCAAAATTTTATTAAAAAAAAAAGGATCTCACGAAGAAACCGCCTCGAAGTTTCTTCATCCTCTCCATCTCTCTCTCTCTCTCTCGCAGGTACAAAATTCAAACGCTACCTTTATTCCTGATTCTTGTCGTGCTCTATACATATTCATCATACATATAGTGTTTATATATATATTTATATATAATATATATCTCGATTTCGTGTTGAAAAATCAAAATTCTCCGCGAATTTTAGTTTACCCATTTCTATATTTGAAGATTAGAGTGACTTTATATACTATAAGGGTCGAATCTTGGAGAAAAAAATGGCATTTTTCCAGTTGTAGTCAGACAGAAGAAGAAAATGGAGCCTTTGAATAGGTTCTACTTTAAGGAGAGGTGGAAATTTCGTGTGGTCTTCCATGGGGTCGGCGCGTTAGCATTTATTGTGTTGATTTTTCACAGAGATTCGTTTCAGAACCCAGTTTCAAGAAAGCCATATGTTCTTCTTTCTAAAAAGATTGGTGTTGATGGAGAGGCTATTGGCAGTAAGGATTCAACAATTTGCACTGGGATTTATGGGTACGAGGGTTATGAATCCAAGTGTGGGTACTTGAAGCAGAATCCGGATTGCGATTCGGGCGGGATTTTGAACTACATCAAGTTTTTCTATTGTGATCTTGAAAAGTACACTGCATTGAGGCATTTGATTCTTGGGATCTGGCTTGTCACCTTGTTCTACTTGTTAGGCAACACTGCTGCAGATTATTTCTGCTCTTGTCTTGAGAACCTCTCCAATCTTTTGAGGTTGTCTCCCACTCTGGCAGGGGTGACTCTTCTCCCCTTAGGGAATGGGGCCCCTGATGTGTTCTCCAGCGTTGCCGCTTTCGTGGGTCCCGACTCGGGTGGCGTGGGGTTGAACGGTGTTCTTGGAGGCGCTGTTTTCGTCACCTCCGTTGTCGTGGGCACTGTTTGTTTATGTGTTGCCGAAAGGGGAGGAGTTCGGATTGACAAGAAATGCTTTGTAAGGGACGTTTGTTTCTTCTTGTTTGCGTCTTTCTCTCTTCTTCTGATATTGATTCTTGGCAAGGTGAGTGTTGGTGGTGCAATCGCGTTCCTCTCGATTTATCTCTTGTATGCGGTTTGCGTGGCTGCGGTTGAGCTGTTAAGAAGATTAAAGTTTGATTCTGTGGCTCCACTTGTGGCTCCTCTTTTACCACTCAAGCACGAAGACTCTCTATGCGTTGCTCTTCTGCAGTCTGATTCTGATTCTGATTCTGCAAAGCTGTGGGCGATGGCGAAGGTGGACCCCAAGGAGTCTTTGTGGGGTTGGAATGATGAGAATGTTGTTGTGGGCGAGGCGCCACCTTCGTCCCCGTGTTCCAAGTTGCTTCTAAACCTTGTTCAAATCCCGTTGATGCTCCCGAGGCGTTTAACTATCCCTATAGTCGACGCGCAGCGGTGGTCCAAGACCTATGCGGTTGCTAGCGCGTTTTTGGCACCTCTTCTCCTTGCTTTCCTTTGGAACGCTCGGTATGATTACATCCGGGGAGAGATTCTGTATGTTTCCGGTGCCGTCGTTGGGGGCATTTTGGGCATTTTGGCACTTACATTCACGAGTCCCGACCACCCGCCCGAATCGTTCCTATTCCCGTGGATTTTGGGCGGGTTCTTCATGAGCATAGTTTGGTTTTACATTCTCGCAAATGAGCTAGTCGCACTCCTTGTCGCGTTCGGGATTATATTCGGGATCAACCCGTCGCTCCTCGCGCTGACCGTGCTAGCGTGGGGGAACTCGTTGGGCGACCTCATATCCAACGTCGCAATGGCGATGAAGGGCAAGGACGGCATCCAAATCGCGATCTCGGGGTGCTACGCGGGGCCCATGTTCAACACCCTCGTGGGCTTGGGCTTGTCCCTCGTGATCGGGGCGTGCTCGGGCGGGCCGTCCACCTACGCGATCCCCCAAGACGCAAGCTTGTTCTACACCTTGGGGTTCCTGGTGG